CTTAGTATTTATTTTATAAAAGCAATAGAAAACTTTTTTCTCTGTATTTACATAGCCTGATAGCAACACTCGGGGGGTTGGGAGAATTCTCGACAGTTATGCAAACCCTCGACTACGTCTCGGGTTTGCATAACTGTCTCGAATTCTCCCAACCTCCCCTCGTGTTGCTATCAGGCTATGTAAACACGGAAAAAGTTTTCTATTGCTTAAATGGTAGTAGGGCCCATGTCAGATGACTTAACAACATTTTCCTTTCTTTTGGGGGAAAAAAATATGATTGAAAATTCTGTGAGGCGAAATGCAGAATGTAGGTTGAAAATGTCTCCAAAAAATACACAAGAAACATGTCTATACGGTGGACATGGTATATCTACGAAACATCACTGTTTTTAGATGGTACCAAATAGTATTTTTTCCTTTCATCATTGCTATTTAGTGGATTACTTTTGCATTGGTTGCCATATTTAACATACTATTTAATTCTCTTGGATTTATTCCACTTCAACCTACATTCTGTAGCTATAGTATTTGAATTTTCCTTCTAAAAAGGGCAAGTACAGTCCATGGTTAATTTTTGGATGCAATCTGGTTTAGTTTGGATACAAATAGCACCACATAAGACATGAAAATCAGGTGTTTGTACCCAAGCTAGACCAGAACGCATCATGTTTCAGGGCCGTAGCCACAAATTTCTGATTGGTCTGGTTTTTGAGGGTTTTTCGGTTTTTCTTACATTTAAAAACATTTTTGTTATATTTTCCCCCCAAAAGTTGGTGCGGTTGAAACTGGACCGACGGTACTGGTGGCTATGGCCCTGTGCTTACTCAAAACTCCTATTGCTGGTTTTTGCAGTGACCATCTTGGATGAATTTAACAAACGTTTTGCCATCATTCTCTTTTATTATGTCACCCAACATGGTTGTCAAGTCTTTTATTATTTCATTCTCTTGGGATTGATTGAAAACTAACAAATAATTATGCTATTCACATGCTCTTTTTGGAGGGATGTCAATCAGGATTTTGCTCTCCTCGTAATCCATATCCATTGCAGAGGCATAATGAAAAAGAGCTATTATTTGTTTAAATATTTTTTATTATCTATTCAAGATAATTAAGGTTAATATATTGACCACAAGCATGCTTGCAGATGATTTATTTCATGTTTTTATTTTAAGATTTTGCTCTCCATCTCTTAATTCATATCGCAGAGGCATAATGAAAAAGTGCTATTATTTGTTTTGATATTTTTTAATCTACCATAATAATTACAGTTAATATTTTGACCATAAGCATGCTTGCAGATGATTAATTTCATGTTTATATCTTAAGCTTATTTAAGCTACTGGTGAATTAAATGCATTTATTATATCCAGTTGATCTTAAATGAGTGAACTATCTTCTTGGAAAACAGCTCATTCATACAGTGCAATCATAGCAGAAAATTTTCAATTCATAAGCACACTGATTCAAGTGATATCTTGTCGGTTAGTTTTAATGAGGACTATGCAAGTGCTGAAAAATTCAATCTGTAAATCTATCAGACAAACTTAGAAATAAAAGATTTCAAATAATTAGTGAATCTTGAACCGAATCCTTTTCTTAAGAAAATGATATCAGGGAAGATGTACTAGCATTCAAATGACATAGATGGTGAGACATCCCTTAACATGAAGATGTGCCTGTCATTAGTGTGTAGATGACATCAGTTTCCTTCATGAGATCATATTTTGGTAGTTTCCATTTAGCTTCTTTTTTTTTTTTTTGGCTACTAAAGGTTATATATATGGAATGTTTAGCACACTAAGAAGGAGGAGTCAAAACTTTTTATTTTGAAGAAAATAAATCTGTTTCCTTGCTGGAATTTAGAAAGTTTACTTTAAATTCC